GGCTGCGAAGCCCCTTACTCTGCCGCAAGTACGCGGCGTATCCCCACTAGGAACGTTACCCCAGCCAGTAAAGACAGCGCAAGTTGCGCGCTAACGCTGCGAAGAGAGCAGAGGAGAGCAGCGAGAGAGCCCGTAGCATGCGGCGGGGGAGCGGGGAGGAGGCGGCGCTTAAGCCATGCGAAACAGGGGATGCAGGTCATGCTCCCCAAAACCGGGCCAACTCCTGCTCCGCTCACCTTGCAAGGCGGGAATGGCTTTCCAGACAGACACGGGCCCCTGGCTAGCGAACTGCCCCAGGGAGACTTCCAGGAAGAAAATAGGGATCCCGGCTAGAGCCAGCATCATCAAATAGGGGATGAGAAACGCACCTTGGGGGGTGAGGGGAGAAAAGAGAGAACAACCTGAATCATCGCGAGGGGACTGGTGGCGCGGAAAGGTCGCGCCATCTTCATTCATCACACCGGGGTGAACTCGCCCCACTCCGCGGCCCCAGTGCCGAGAGCCTCATGCCCTCCTCACCCAGCACCCTCCATGGCGGCTGCAGGCTGGGAACGGGCCTTCCCCGGGCCGAAAAGGGTCTATTTCTGCCCATGATACCAGGGCCAGCTTAGTCAAGACCTTCAGCTATTACGATTTTTCTGTTTGTTGCCGATTCCCAGAGCCTCCAGCCCCGACGGAGAGGAGCAGCTTTCTGCATTTTCAGCATTTGCCTCAGACAATATGGTTGTTAAATGTGTATTTTAACGCTTCGCACTTAAAGGTCCTTAGGTGTAAAGACAAAAAAAAAGCTCATTTTTTTGTTCTCGCAAAGTCTGATTTTGGCTTTAAATTGCCGGTTCTCTGACATAAAATAGTTTTTGCAGCCTCTACACAACGTGTTTAGGTGCTCGCAGCACCACCGCTGATGGCCCTGCGCAGGGGGAAGCGGCTCACGGCTGCTGTGGGTTACAGCAGTAACACCCCCGCTTGGCAGCTTAAATGAGAGCCTTCATTAGGAGAACCGCCGCCAATAAACTTTCTCCTCCCCTCGTAAACTATTCACGGCACAAGCCCTCTTCCAGCTTTTCTTCTCCTCTGTTCTACTGAGCTGCATTCGCTCTATTTCAAACGATTATTTGGCAATCGAATCATTGAGAGATTTAAAAGAGATTCCTCAAATTTCTTGAAATAACGTAAGTCCTCGTGCGACTTTCCCGACTCGAAAATCCTTTGCATCGTCCTCTCCTCCCTCTGCTTTCCCTGTCCCAGCGTTTGCGGATTCAGATCTGACTGCGTTTAAAGTAGGCGAAGGAGCCCCCGCTCTGTCCCCAGTTGTGACCTACCCGGTCTTCATTTTCCTCCCTCTCCGGCCAGAACCAATTAATTCCAGGTGTCTTTAAAGAAAACGCCACCTTCTAACAAAATCTTGTCAGACCTTGCCTATTTTCAGACCTGACCATCAGAAACACCCAAGAGGAGGCCTCACTGAGTCTGTGAGAGGCTGGGGGAGCCTCCGAAGCTCGGCTCCGCTCGAGGTTTGGTGTCTGGCTTTGCCAGATAAACGAGAGCCTCCGGCCCCCACTTCCCCCATGCTTCTCCCGGCCAAAAAGGCAGGGGCCGGCTCCGCCACGAACGGTACTGCAGGTAGAGAGACAGGAAAAAGCCATCATACCTCCCCCATTCTTAAAGGCCAGGTACGGGAACCTCCAGACATTGCCCAGCCCCACTGCATAACCCACCATGGAGAGAATGAAATCCAGCTTGCTAGACCAGTTCCCTCGGGCTTTATTTTCATCCCCTACATCGTCTTCCTACAGAGGGGAGGGAAAAAAAAAGAAAAAGAGAGAGATCGGAAAACAGCCTATTTTCCAAACAAGCTTCGCGATGCTACGGCTCATAGGGTCACCGGAGGGAGATCCAGAGAGCAGGAGCAGGGGCAGAGACCCTCCCCTGCAGCCCCCGCCCGCCGGTGCCGGGGGTCTCTTCTGCCAGATAAACAGGAGAGGGACTTTTAAGCCATGGCCCTCTCTCTGGCTGCTCCTGAGGGAGGAGAGGCGGTGACTACAATCCGGGGGCTTGGAGGAGGTCAGTCCTCTCTGCCCAGGCACTCCCGCCAAGCTGGCTCCTCTGCGGAGGGTTCGCGGGAAATGGACAGGGCTCGAAAGCTCCCTTCCCGGAGGCTCCAGCCACTGCAATGCGCATCTTCCGCTCATGCTGACATCTTCACAGGGCCTCGGGAGGGGGAGTGTGGAGGTGGCTTGCCTGGGTCCGAATCCCCCGGCTCTCTCTGGGGAGCGGAGCCCTCGGTGCCCTTGTAAGGACCAACTGCCAGTCCCCAGCAAAGCCTGCAGGGGCCCAGCCCGTTCCCCCGGCACAGACAAACGAAGTTTATAAAACAGCTTTTACAGAGCATACATATCCCTTCCCTTTCTTTCAAGGTAAACCCAGATACACGGGAGGGCAGGGAGAGCCCCAGGGGGGCACTCCCCCAGCCGCAGACCCCTCTCGGGGCGCAGGAAGAGGGTTTGGGATGATTTAACCTCTTGTGGGTTTGGGTTGATTGATTTCACCTTGTGTTTGGGTACAGACTCCGAGGCACGCAGCTGCCGGGGGCTTGAGCTGCCGGCAGAGCCCGAGGGAGAGGATCAAGAGCAGAGCACGCTTTTGCACCCGGTGCTAGGGGACAGTACCTGGCTTCCTGCGGGGTGGGGGGAGTGTGGGGGGGCGTAGCCAGCGTACGGACACGCGTAGCGCAGGTCGGAACCGGGTTCTGCTGACGGGCATGGCTCAGTGAACTCACTGGAATTAGCTGGGAACTATTGACTGGCGTTTATACCCGTATCATATGATTAGCACTCACCAGCGGTACAGCGCTTTCTTATACCCTCTCCCCTTCTTCCTCCCCGCGGCACAGCCTCATCCCCGACTGATTCGAACCTGGTTTTAGAGATTCAGCCCCAAATCCATGCTAAATGACAAAGACGTCTCACTCCCACGAGCTGAAGGCAAGGGGGAAGAAACCCTGTAAGGAGCCAACTTACCCCCTCCACTCTGCCAGGAAGGACGGAAGTGTTGCCGTCTGTGCCCAGTACCACGGTACTCTGACTCAAGGTCACCCAGGCGCCTTTGGCGTTGTTTTGCTCCAGTGTGCTCTTCCCAAGGGTTAGATTGGCGTCCCCGACTGTGCTTTGTAAAGCGGGAATTTTGCAGTGAGGGATAGCAGCTTGCCCGGCGGCCCCTGGCCCAGCGGCGTGCTTGCATGGAAAGGTTTCCACAGATTCCCTCCGAAGGGTGGAGTTGGCTTGTACCGGGGTACTGCTGAGTTTGCAGATCCCAACTTTGGTCCTCTCGAAATCATTTGGTTTAGCTTCTTCGGAGGGAAGGGTTTTGTGGTCGTTAGAGAGAGATTGGGGAAGCCTGGCCGTCGCGGCCGCGGCTTGCGATGGGGCATTCTGCGACTCATTTTCGGGGCTGATTCTTACAACGCCCGCTCCTTCACTGGGTCCAGAAGCAGCGGTTTCAGGGCTGTTAACAACCTGCTTGCTCATATCTCTTTGACTGGTGTAGTCCTAAAATGACAACGTCACATATTTTACCAAAAGAAAAAAAATAATCAAAAAGCCACGTTGAGACTGCAAAGATTCTACGAATTTCTTTCCTCGTGCACAAAACGCATGTGCTAGAAAATCTGTATACAAAAGTGTTGCAGAATTTCGAGGTGCCTCGCCTCGCCTGATTGCCCTCTCATTCAGCGTTAATATTCTGGTGGAGAAAACAGTAAGGTACACAAAAAAAAACCAACCTCAGAAAAACCAAACAAACCGCATCAGCTCCTACAAAACCCCAATTCGAGTTTAAATAAGTGTTTTTACAGCACTGCGCCTCCAGATCTCGTTAGATTTCACATCACGACTGTAGGATGCTCCCTTCCCTATCACCAGTGTAGAAAGATTCTTTAATTTTACGCCCCATTTCCTTTCTGTCATTCAACAATGCACATCAGCTTTTTTTTTGTTTTAATATATAGGCAATAGACAAGCTGCCCTGTAGGCAGCCGGAGATGTTAAAAAACAAGCGAAATACTGCTGGTGAGCATTTCTGTGCTGGCTGCCACACTTCAAAACCCAACAGCAAGACAGTGAAACGCAAAAATAACCACACCACCACAGCAGAATTAATGTCAATAACAGCTAGCTTTCCTTATTCTTTTTCTTATATTTCTGGCTCGCACACCTCTAAAGATTTTTTTAAGCATTCCCGTATTCATTAAACAGATTACTGACTACAGTCCCACTCCACACACACACACACCCCCTCCCCTTTCCTTCCAATTTAAAATTATATTTTAAAATGCATCTGCTTTTCATACCTTAAGCAACCCGCGGACAAGCCCTACCTTTTCTGTCAAATTAATATTAGCTTTTCAAAGATGGTTTCACAAAAATACCCGTCACAGTTTCCGTTGCAAGTTTTCTCTTCCTCTTAATCCCATCTCCCAGCGTCAGGGATAAGATCTGTAAGAACTCGGTCACTATCTGAGCGCACTTCGGGGTCCTACCGTGTCTCCCCGGCCATCCCTTCCCCCGCAGCAACCCTACCGTGGTCTGCAGGAGGCTTCCCGCGCTGTCTCCGCGGACAGCACCGTCAGCACCGCGGACAGCTCCTCCTCCGACACCGCTTCCCTGGCTGCGAGGTGCGACGGAGATACCGACAGAAAGAACTGACGCGAGCACGAGGGGGTCCAACCGCAAATTGAACGACGACCCCCCTCCTTCAGCCCTTTTCAATAACAAATAAGAGAAATCAAGCACTTACCATGTCTTTAAATAGCCACAGATTGACTCGGTGGAGGTAAAAACAGCAGTACAGGCAATTGACAGACTGGATTTTGCCCAGTCCACAGCAAAGCTTTCTATACTTCCTTGGGAAAGACTGGGTTTGCGTCAGTGCATAGCAAGGTGCCCTTCGTTTGACATTTTCTTGATAATAAGATTTTGATAAATCATTACCCTTGGTTTCTGATTTTAAAGGGACAACAAGAAGCCAGAGTGCCGGCTAGCTGTCACTCACGCAGCAGTGGGATTGCGTGTTCCGTGTGACTCATGTGGGGGCTGATTACTAAATCAAATCCAGCAAGAGCGCGGAAGAACTTTCTTGCTGGTAATTAGAGGGAACATGTGAGAAACACGTACTATTGCACCCAAAGCAAGAGAGAAATAGGGAGAAACCTTCCATTTTCTACCCCTTTACCCTCCTCCTGGTTATAGTGTGTGATTCATCTCTCCACTTTTTTTTCTCTGCATACCTGCAGTTCTCAGTTAAATCAGGCGTTATAACAGCTTAGACATATATATATATATATATTTATGTATTTATATATGTGTGTGTGTATATATATATCCACATACCCATATACCAAAAGAAAGAGAGGTTCACTGTGTTAAAAGTACACAAGCACATTTTAATTGCGAAGTCCCTATTCTCGTTGTACCAGAAAGCATTATATCATCTGTTTTTACTCTGCCTCGTGGGGGGAAACCCTCAGACCTAAGTAAATTAAAACGATAAACATAATAAAGCAACCTTCTTTCTCATTAAAACTATCTTAAAAACAGTTAAGTGGGAGCAAAGATTACAGCAACCACTGTCAAGTTGTCGACGTTCTTCCCCCACCCATCAAAGCATTTATGTTTTAGAATTAGGGGGAAAATTATTCATCATTAAAAGTCATATGTTAACCCAGAATTGTTTTTTTTGCAACGAAGTAACCCACCCATAATCATCTCTCGTAAGTGTTTTTTGCTATTTTAGAGGCTTTCTCAAAGATTTCTTGCGCACAAGGTAACTTTGTTCATGCTGACAAAAACAAAAAGCTTATTGGCAAATCGGGATGCTCCTTAAGCAGCCTTCCCAGTTGTTTCAGCGTCAGAGATGCTGTTCCTCTGCATACACTCTGCTAGCGTCAGCTTGTCCAGAGACTATTTAATATTTTAGGTAAGCAATGTGAAGTATGCGCCTATCCGGGTGAGGGGGCTAAACTCGCCAGTACCACATGCATTTCTTGAATGCCCTTGATTTTACGGGTTGCTAACGTTTGTTTCAGCAGGCAGAGTAAATCAAAAATTCGCAGCAGCCTAGACAATTCTGCCAAGGCTTTGAGTGCCCGGTGCCGTCATGAGCTGCGGGTCCACACCAGGGGCTTGAAGAGCTTTGTTCCACTGCGCCAGGCTGCGGCTCGGCGTGCAGGTGGAGCTGCAGAGGCTGCCCGTCCCCGTCACAATTCAGTCCAATGCCTTCACGTTACACCTGGTCATTGCGGATGTAAGCAGAAATTCACCTCCAAGTATTATTAAAAGCACTGCGAAAGCCAAGGAGATTTGGGCTAGCAAAGCAGAACATTTAAAATCTTTTTTTTTTATTTTTTTGCAGAAAAGACCACCCCGGCTCCCAAATGAAAAATGCTTTCGCCCTACAGCAGAGCTTCAGAACATGTTTATAACACAGCTAATTACACAGTTAATAATAACACAGTTAATTTATTGTGCTATTGCTTAGAACATACACAAGCATTGGGGCCTGCCTGTGCTACAGGTATGTAATTGTAATACACACACACAGGTATTTTCACACATACTCACTTTCAACACAGTGTGTATGTAGACTGTTGTACGTTCCTCTCTTCAAGCACACTCTTCTGCCTCTCTTCTACAATATACTCTCCCCCCGGTCTACTCAGAAATCGAGAGGGACACATAGAAGCTAGTTTCTAGCTAGCTAGGGAGAGGAAGAAATCGGTGGTATTTTGCAGTGTTTCCTTCCCAACGCAGCCTCCAGCCGCAGAACCACCAGAGCCAGGGAAGGGAGCAGGGTCGTTAGCTCAGTGATGCTGCCCTTCAGGCTACATTAATGCCTCTAAAGGCACGGACCAAATTAAAAGCGACAAGACAGCAGTCCAAGAAGTATTTTGGTGGCGAAGATCCTCAAACCTCTTCTAGATTCACAGAGTTGACTTATTTTGTTTGTGTTTGTTTTTTAGTTTTGGGGTTTTGTTTGTTTGTTTGTTTCAGAAAATTGACAGAATTCATACTTCACGTTCTTTTTTAAGCGATATGTTTGCTTTCTCCATCAGCACTGAAACGTGAAATCGAAGTTTCACCCCTGGAAAAGAGGAATCGATCTCCTTTACTTGCAGCAAAGGCAAGAGCACCCATCTTCCCCCGCACCCCGGGCAAGGGCGCTCTCGGAGGGGCACAGCAGGAGGCTGCTCTCCCCTGCTGAGGACCGGAGCCAAGGACCCGTGTTTGGACAAGAGGGAAACCCGCAGAGCAACACGGCTCGAATTCAGACGTCTTCCCTTTACCCAACACCTCGGCGCCAGCTGCCGAGACTGTAAAGACGAGCAGGTCCTGCCCTTCTCCCCTCACACACAGTGACAGGTATAGACGCATGCCCTTGCTCGAAACTGCTAGTTTGGAGTGATGTCTCCTTTCAAAACCAAACCAAATCCTTCCAACGTGGGGTTTTAACGTCCCAGTTAACTGCCAGTAAGTTAATGAAAATCAGTTTTCTGAGCTCCCTCTTGGCTTCTCATCGTCCCTTCCCAGGGCGAGCCGCCCCCTCAGCCCCGAGCACGTACCGCAGGGGTTAAGGAAAAGGACGCGGCTGCAGCTCATACCAAATACACGCCCCCCTTCTCCCTTCCTCAGAGGGGTGTTTATGGGGGCCGCTCACTCCCGACGTAAGCCTGTCCAGCCGTAAGCCTCGGCCCCCGGGGCTGCCCACACCGCCGCTGGGACGGAGGGTAGCTGCTCGGGGGGGAAGAGGAGACTTGGGTTTTTTCCAAAGAAAGGGAAGACTCCCTCCTTCCCCGAAACAGCCCCCTTGGGGGCTGCCTGCTTGCGATGAACCCCCTGCGGAGGGGGCCGAGAGAAGAGCGGCCGAGGAAGGGCCTCCGTCTTAATTATTTTGTCAAGGATGAAAAATAGCAATTGATTTTTTTTTTCTGCCCCTGCCCCATCTTTGCAGATAAGCAAATGCGCAAACGAAGGTGGAGGGGGGGTGTGTGGGAGGTGGGGTGTTGGGTTGTGCCGGACTCCCCTCGGCACACAACCCCGGAGCCCGCTGGCTTTGAGGGTGCCCCCTCGTCCCCACTCACTCCTAACACGTACTTTCCTGCCTTCACGCCGCATTAACGTCATGCCTCAGCTGAAAAAAATCCAAGTCACGACAGGAACAAGAGATGACTCCTCCCCACTAACACCCAGGCACGCCGAGACACCCACGCAGTTCCCAACCGTGCGCTAAAATGTCCCGGCTCCTTTCTGCCTGGGTTAAGTATTGCAGCTATTGCTCTTCAATCTGCCTCCTTCTCCTTTCTTTCCCACTAGAAAGTTTTCCAAAAATTGATGGAGGCACTCCCAGCAAGAGACTGTGCCGTCTCCCATCTCCCGTTTTCCCCCAGCGTTTCCAGCCGCAGCCTTTGCAGCCCCGGCAGGTGCCACACTCCGATGTCACAGCTTGTCCCGGGGTCCTCACTTAGAAGAGGAAAGGCGCTTGTGTGAAGCAATTCAGACAGCACATTGACCCATGCAACTGGCGGGGGGTTTCCTTCTTCCCTCCTTAACTTGGTCTCACCTCTTTTTTTTTTTTTTTTTGAGTAAGGAGCTTTCCGACAAATCCAGAGCAAGCCGCGCTGGTGGGAGTTCTTCACAGAAAACAGCCATTCAAACCCTTTTCTCCTTTAAAGCTAAAAGGCAAACACAGTAGTAAAGATGAGGAAAGGTGTGAACACCTCGGGAAGTGTCTTTAACTGCTCAGTTAACATTGCTATTGAAGAGCCTTTTTTTGTTAAAGGTAATTGGATTAGAGAGCTGGTAAACCTTAGCTGTGAAATGCACTGATTCGATCTGTCCTGCGCACTTTGTGGATTTGATTTGCGGTTAAAAAAAAAGTCGAATTTCCCCTAGACTTATGAGTAGGTGACAGTGAATTCAGGCAAGTCCCCAAGAGCTCTTCCTGCAGCCCAGGTCAGCCGCATCTGCAGCCCGAGAGGGGGGCAGGGCCCCACCGTCCCTCCGAGGCTGCAACGCAAACCTCGACGTGCTCCCTGGTCACCAAACCTGCCCTCGCTCAGAGCTCAAGGCTTCAACCTTGCAGAGAAATTCCAGCTTTGGGTAACACGGATATGTTTATTTATGTGTAAACAAGATTATGGCTTTTCTTATAACCAACGATGGTTTTCAACTATTTTTAATCATTGTAATGATTTAACTGTAGTAATAGATAATGTAAAGCCAAGAACAATACTGTATTCACTCAGCTGAGTTAGAAATCAAAGCCAGCAAAAGCAGGTATCAACATGCCAGATCTTGCAAAGTGCTACTTCAGCTTCCATTTCTTTTATTTCCCTTTTCATTCCATCTACATGTATGAATTTTTATAGCCTTATTTCGACTGAACAATTTTCCCACGCAGAGAGCATAGACCCTTTCTTAAAACAAAGATTCACCTTATCAGGCTGCAATATTTTGCTTCTCTCAGTTAATTATGTCCAATAATGAAGAGACTGTAAAATCTTTCAAGTTATAATTACCTGTTATTTTTCTCCTGTGAAACGCCTCAGGCTCATCCTGCTCTTTATTAGCTCTACTGGACGCTTTCTGATGAGCTTGCTTCCAATTGCCTTAACCCATATAACTCACTGGATGGCCCTTGGATTTTCAGATAATTATAAGAGTCTGGTATCCTCGCTGTGAAAAAGGAGTCAGTTCCCTGAGAGATTTAACTCCTTCAGTGGAGACCACTGTAAATAACAGAGGATTCAAAGAAAGGGGGATCAGGTGGGGGGAAAACAGAAGCATCTGGAGGAAATTTCTGCACCACTAGCCAGGCATTTATGTTCCTAACAGCTATTTAACCCATACATACATGTTTCTTCATTTGTCCAGACGTTTTCCCTAACTGCAGGGCATAATCTCAGTGCAGGGAATAATAAACATAGGTTTGGACTTCCATTTTGCAATAGAACAGGACTTAAAAAAAAAGCACATATTTAATGAAAAATGATGAGTAGATGCTATTTAGAGCTCTAAATATATTTCCATGATTTACCAGTGTGCAAACAAGTCAACGATAATTTTTTCTGATGCCACAGTAAGCTCCAGACTTAGCCTAGCTCAGTAACCAAACTCAGCACTTCTACCTATTCAGATAAGATTGTGCCTGTCCTTACAGTGCAAACAAGGAAAAAACCCACATCTTTTTGAACTAGTGGTGCTTAAAACTGGAATAAGAGCAGTGCTTTTTTCTAGCTGTTCCCAATTCAGCAACTGCACTTGCAGGGACATTGAACTCCAGCATGTTTGCAGAGGAGGATCACCTGCAGAAAGGTGCCTAAACCTCTGCAAGGTTGCTTTGATTGGCAAGAGGGGAAGTTTTGGAGCACGTGGACTCATTGTTGAGCTGTGAAACGTCAACTCAGCTAAATCTCAGTATTAATAAAGATTAACACTCTAAACAACACTATCTGAAAAGAATAATTCTCAAACTATTGTATGTTGGTTGCTTGTTATGATGTAAGTATACCACATTAAGGTTTGAACTCCTGATCCAAAATTTGGGAAAATAAATAAATAGCAAAATAAGAGGAAGTTGATTTTTCTAAGCAGATACTTGGGGAAGACACCGTGGGCATCACACAGAAAATACAACAGATTCTGACATGTAACCAGTCCGTTTTAACACCTTTCACTCTCAGCCTTATTCACTTTTGACTACTGAGTCGGAACAAGCCACCATGAAAAATTCCTATGTGTACCTCTATGAGACTATGGGAGCTTTCCCAGGAACGGGCAACAACATTGATGACATGGACCATTTTAAGAAAAAAACCAAAACAAACCAACCATACTAATGTAACTACTTCAGTATTTCACAAGGCAAGTCAAGATAGCAATTTGGATCCTTCGAATTTATGATTGGAAAAAAATAAGAAAGCTTTTTCTGTGGTCTCTCATAGGAAGTACTTGGTTTGTTTAAACCAGAGTTCTGCTCCCCATTCATTTTTTTTTTTGCTCTTTCACCATGAAAGGGGAAATCTTCAATACATAGTGAATTGAATATGGCAACTGTCATGAAGAGATAACGAAACTGTGATCCCTCTGTCAGCATGAAAAAAATCCCACACTTCATCTTGCAGAGTGCTGGATGAAGAAACTCATCTGTTCAGGGGTGATAAGTCAACTCAGCATTGGGAATGTAAGCCTAAATCAGTGAGTAGTTTGTAGGACATCCATAGAAGCAGTGAACTTGAGGTCCTAGGTTAAATCTAACTTTGTTTTGGCTAAGGAATAAATGTTAGAGGCAAATTTTCAACTACAGCTTCTCTCACTGGGACATCCATTTGGAGGACATTAGTAATGACTTTCTTTCCTGAAACAAACTGATCTCAGTGCACTTGGAACAGTTCTGTGGGAATATACTGGTGGAAACAATTCACTTAGCCACATCCTTCTTAGCAGACTCCCAGTATAAGTCGAGATAGAGCCCCTAATTCTGGGGTCTAAGCCTTGGGTATGAGAGCTGAGTATGCCAACACTGTGGCAGCTGGGAACCACCCCGTGGCTGAGAAACAGAAGATAGGGATATATTACATAGCCACTTTTCAGCTCCATTACACTGTCAGATGGCTCGAAGGGGCTGGCATCACAGCAGAGAATCTGGCTTACAGCTTGTACACATGTGGCTGTTATTCAAAGCCTTCTCAGCTGTTAATCAAAGCTACACAATCCCATAATGCCTGCACTTCACTGAGGGCAGACCCATGCTCTATCATCCCACAGCGCTTTCTCCAGTCATGCTGATCTAGACTTGAACTGTAGCATACCTTCAGCTTTAATTCTGAAGAGACAACTCCAACAGTATTTGCAACAGAAAATGACATTATAAGTACTATTTACTCCCCAAGTCAATCTGTGCATTCCATTTAGGGTAGTGGATTAAAAAAAAAGACGCTGAACTGCTTAGAAACGGTTAGAAAAAGCAAGCAAGCTTCTACCAGTTACATATTGAAATCAGGTTTAAGCATTCCCTTGAGCATAAATCTCCAAGGCATTAGGATCACACTGCTCTCCTAAGGTATAAGATTCACTGTTTAAATAACCACTTTGTTAATTCCTATGGTTCTGAAACTCTGGGCAGCTTCAACACTGAGCTCCGAACACACTTATTGCCTTGGTCCTATGAAAAATTTAAGGTGATCCACTATCTAAGGTGTTGGAAACCTGAAACTGGACTTCAGTGTCAAGACCATTTTCTAATTAAGCTTCCCAGCTCACTCCTGCACTTGTCAGTGAAACAGTGAGATGTGAAAAAAGATCACCAGAGGTATTTCAATAGCCAGTTTCTCCTAAGTACCTCTTTTATTTAACCCTTCTTTATCCTTCCCTAA